CTTTAAGTATATATGTCCAAAAACGAAAAAGAATTGCGATAAAAAGTTTTTGTTTATGGATAGATTTCATAATTCATAGGCAAACATATTACAAAAATAAAATTAATTTGAAATTTCAATATCTCAATAAAAGAACATATTTGATGCATAAAATTCAGTAAAATAATTATAGCTCGGCTCTCAATATGGAGGAAGACGAACTGTTCTAGGTTTTCGCTAGTATCATAAAAGTATCGTGATAAATACTCTTAATTTATATTATCTTCGTACAGAGTCACACGTGATAAATGATATTTTGCATATGATGATTTTGTTATGAATGTACTAAATAGAAATCATGTATTTGTTTAGGTGTTATGTATCAACGTTGAGACAATACATATTTCTACATTTCTTCTTTTACAAGTTCATCATCAATTAGATAAAAATCTCAATTCAAAAATTCTTTTTAACGATCTTCGTTCATCATTTAATATTGACGATTATATACATGGTCATAATGATCTTGTCTATGATGCAGATAAACGTAAATTTTCTAATTTAGCTTATCCGAATACTTCTAAATTTACTCTTCATCATGCCACATAAATAACTCATGTGGGTGGGGCTGTGGGTGTTGTTTCCTTTATCATCTCACACCCACACCACATCACACCCACATTCACCCTCACCCCCACACCTCACACACACACCCAGATCCCACACCCCACCCGCACCTCACACCCACACCTCACACTCACACCCCACCCACATCCACACCCCCACACACACCCAGATCCCACACCCCACCCACACCCTAGTCTTTGTGAAATTTATTGTCTAAAAGCAGAATTAAGTTGTAGTACATAAATTTTACGATCGGATGATGGATTCAAAAGGGTGGACTGCGAGTCATGAAGGGTGGGTATGTGCGGATGTTGATCTTTCCTCATTCATATCAACAGCCACAGCCATACCCACACCGACACCCAAACCCCAGACCCCACACCCACAGACACCCGCTTTAATATCTTTATGCAGAGCCCTGATGTGTGTTTTTCATTGTCGATTAAATAACATGAAACGCGTCGGGAAAAAACTAGCTCTCGATTTTATTTCGAATTTGAATTTAAATCCTTTTTAGCACAAGAAATACATATAGGTTGAAATAACCGTATATTAATACGACATACGTCTGTTGCTGAAAAGCAAAAGCTGAGAACTAACAGATTGAGTTTTCTTTTAGTCGGAAGATAAGTTAATCTGTTTTGAATCTTAGTTACCATAAAGGAGAATACTGGATTTTAAGATGGCCACACTTTTGACACACGTTTGGATTAAAACGATCAATACCATAATGAGGAGTAGGCAAACCAGTGCCACAAATCCAACCACTAGGCTGAAGAAAACCAGTAGGACTACCGCAGTGTGAACACCGAAGGAGTGTTACAGATTTTTCGTTTGAGTTATTCATATGGCAGCGCTCTAAACACGTCAAAAGAAAAAATATCAATTATTTAGAACACACAATTCACTAATACTAATCTCGTTTGAAACGATGAGTAACTAAGTTGATGACAGTAGGGATGCCACGGATGAACAACGTAAATTTTCAGTGTATAATTTGCTCATAAATTCTACAGTCGAATTTTAAATTCGTTCGTTATATTAAAATGCCACTTTTTTGCTACTTATGAGTCTGACACAAAAATTTTGTTGCTCGAATTTAACTATCATTATATTAAACCCCTTCCCATAATAGAAGATCCTCATATTAGTAGACCCTCCCATGTTAGAAGACTACCCCAGAGGAAAAGTTCGTCATCTGTAATAGAAAACTCCCTTTAATTGGTTAACTTTCAGCTAATTAGGAATTTTAATAAGTAGATTCTTGCCCTGATGTACATAGTTTTAGAGTTCTTCTGTCGGAAATATAGGAAGTCGGTTCAAAATTATTTCTGTAATCTCAAAACTGTCAAAATTCCTTCGAGAATCCTAAAAAGTGTGTGGATTTTCTGGAAAACTCTTTTAGTTTAACAATTGCAAAAAGTATAGGATATAATAGAAGATCCCTCTTAAAACTTTGTATATCGAAACATTATAGACGACTCGGGTCCTTTATTATGGGAGGGGGTTTAGTCAAATAGTGATTAAGTAATAAAGAAACAGTAAAATACTCTATCTGTTCATGAATAAAAGAAATTTCTTTGAAGTCTTGCATAAAAAAATCAAGTGCTTCTGCCAGAAACTTTTTGATTGCCCTTTGAAAAATAAGCGATGCGAAAGATGCGGACGTCAAACAATCTGCATTTTTGAAATTGATATTATTCAAATTTAAGTCCTCTCATATTTACTTCATACAAATTTGACAATAACATCTATTGCTGGAAAGTAAGAGTTAAGATTATAAAATTAATCGTTATCATTTTAAATATATTCACGGCGGCATATTTTTCAATTGAACTGTGCTTTTCTTCTTCCTATCGATTCATTCTGGATTTTTTCAACTTTGGGTGTAAGTGTACGGTGGCTCTTTCTTACAACACTCATACCCAGTTCAGAATTACCTATGGGAAGGTATGTATGCGGGTGTGGATGTTAACATTTCCAAGTCGACATAGACATTCACTCCATGGAACGAAAACATGGCCAATGATGTAAATTTCGTTATATTAATAAAAAGTGAAAATTTTCTTAGAGAAAAATTATGTCGAACATGAAAAAAATGCTATTTTTCACAATGAAAACTACATTTTAATGCATGAGTGTGGGTTTAAGGGTCTGGGTGTGGATGTGAGTGTTGATGTAGGTGTAAAGAGCTGTAACTGTCAATATTGTTTTCCATTTCTATCCGCAGTCATACCACACCCACATGCACGCACTACACCACTAGTAAAGCCATGGATGCAAAACGGAAAACATAAATAAAGGATGTTTCGAAAACAACCGAGATAATAACAGTGAAATACGTTATTATTATGAATTTCTCATGAGTCAAAATTATTTTCTCTGTTCACAACATCTAGGTATATCATGTGGAACATTGAAGTGGAGTCTAATACATTTCTAAAAGCTTTCGAACAGTTTTACTCACTAAAACAAAATACTTTAGAGAACTTAGTTGTTCGTTTCTTTGTGTTGTCACTAGTCCGTAATGTGAAGTTACGAAGCTTTTGTATTTATCTTTAAGTACTTTGTTTGTATGTTTGAGATAAGACTGCCTACGCTCTTTCGTTTCTTCTTGCTTTCATCTGTTTTTCTTTTAACTTTTTATCGGGTTACCCACTCTCTTGAGAAGACTTCACTTTAGCTTCTGCACAATAATAACAAGATTACTCGCATGCTACTGTGTCTGTTTCATTGTGCAAGAGTGTAGCTATGGATGTTCTTGGGTGTGGGTGCGAGAATCCGCCATTGATTGGCGCAAACCAACACACTCACTCACAGCAACACGCTCACACCAACACCCAAAGATGGATATAACAAAAACATATCGCTAACGTAAGAATATCGACAATGGCATAAGAGTACTTACGTAGTTAGTATCGAACTGTTAATTTTGTAATGTGAGACTACTAGTGATATTGCTTTGTATTTATAGTTTTTGTAATTTTTCTTTTTTTCCAACATAGAATGTTTTTCGGAATATATCAATTATGACTATATTGTATTTGACAGCTTGGTTTTTTTCATTAATGCTAGTAATTTCATGTACTGTAAATGTTTGTTATATATTTTCTCTCTTAACTATTTTTGATTTTTTCCCAGTGAAAACAAGCCAAATAATGGATATTTTACCATTTCTTTTGATTATGTAGCATACACTACCTGAATAAAGCAAACATGACTCATTTCTATTTGACAGCTTGGTCTTTTTTTGAATTAATGCTGGTAATTTCATTTACTGCACGTGTTTGTCATGTAACTTCTGTCTTATTTATTTTGGGTTTTTCCCAGTGAAAAGAAACCAAATGACGAACATTTTAACATTTCTTTTGAAAGTTGGGTGTGGGTGTGGGTGGTAGGTGCAGGTGGGTGAGGGTGTAGGTGTGGGTGTGGGACTAGCTCTCCACTTTAGTCATACCCACACCCACCCACACCTAGATCCTCGAAAAACTTCGTCTCGAGGAAAACAACAATAATCATCATATCAATGATCCAGATGGCTACAAGCGTAAGCGCCGCAAGTAAATTTAATACGCGCTCTCCTTCCATCTGCCTTTCGTGAATAATGATTGGCAGACCCTCGTTAGGGAAGGAGGCTCGTGATGATGTTTGATCCGGGGGGTGATCTGTATCAGTGCTAGCAGTATGCGAAATAATGACTGCTACTCTGATCAGCTATCTCTTTCTGAAACATTAAGCGTCGATTGAAGTGAAAGAAAATAAGTTATAGGTTGTTGCTCTTTGCTCAGACAGGTAAAAATCAATCTTGTGATAGTTTCAACACGCATGCAACAAGATGTATCACTTTGTAGGTGTGTAATCAGATGAGCCGGTATGTTTAGCTGTAAGTAACAACACTTCTTTTTTCTGGATAAAGTAATTTCAAAAACATCGATGATTGCAGAACTTTT